ACAGAATGGAAACAACTCTGAAGTCAGTGGTATTATTGGTTTTAACAATGTCATGTTGTAACTCGTTTTTGTAAGTATAATGTTGTATAAATTTGCTTAAAAAATTTTTATTTCTAGGAAATAGTGTGAATGCCAAATATTTATAAAATGTATTAAAACTGTTGTTTTGGTGTCACCGCAATCTGGAGTGCAATCTTGCTGTATGCATTTAATGTGGCTAGATATGAACCTGTTTCTTTTGCTAGATCAGCTTGGCCAACTATTCAAACAGACAAATCAAACATTTAATCATGCTGCTACAGCTGATAGTAATATTATGTGATTTTATTTTACTATTTTTGTGTTCAATTCATTCTTTTTACCAATATATGCATTTTTAATGTGTAATCAGACAATGTCTTATTTTATTTTCTGTCTGGTTTTTAATTTTGTTGCTCCTTCCATACTGAATTTGCATAACCACATTACCAGTTGTTCATAGTGATTTTCAAGCAAGATATTTATACTTTGACTTGATATGGCAACCTAATTTACAAGTTTTTTCAAAATTACTGGTCTTAACTATTGTTTTCATACATTGCTGATTTCTAGGTTGGATGATGAGTGGGATCATTTTGTGTATGCTCAACAATGGCCACAAACTGTCTGCTTGGATAATGATGTAAGTGGATGTACGAATTGTTATAATCATGTGTCTCTAAATTGTTTCCTCAGTTATGGCTTAATTTACTGCTTGGAGACAAATATAAATCTTATTATAATCTCTCTATATATATAAATCTTATTATACATGTATTTGTGAGAAAAAAATCATTCATAAATTGTTTGCTAATAAGTAGTATCAGAAATAGACTTGGAGTGGTACAAGTTGTGGCTTACATACATTATGTTGCCAATTGTTAAACAAATTAATTTTCCGCTAGCAGAGAAATCATTTTAATAGTTTAATAGATTTTTTCTAATTTGTAAAATTTCATACTATCGTAATTTATCATCTAAAATTAACTAGTTAAGTGTTATTCATGGTTTAATTTTGTAAACAAAAATGCTCCTGTCTTGGTAATGATTGTGCAAGGTTTATGCTCAAGACAAAAACGGGAAGTCTAGATTGTTAACATTCTAAATTTGCTTGATATCAATGAACACGACTTGTTTATGCTAACATTATATATGAGCGTTGATCTGAGCATACATTGTTTGAAAATAGGGGAACTGTGTTGATTATCTATTGTACCTAACGTTTGTGTTTTACGCGCCCGATTAAGGTTTCATTTCTTCTTTAAAGGGACAAGTAAATCAGACAACAAAGTGTAGCATACTTCAGGAAGTTAAAACATGGGTTGTCCATGGCTTATGGTGAGTCCTGCACATTGTAATACTATATAAAGAATCATGTCAATAATGTTTTGCTGTGGTTATGATATTGGTTATAAAATTTAATATGTAGATACAAGTGTTGATGTGAAATATGAAATATAAACCCCAGACAAAGGAATTTTATGTATGTTATTTAAATTCATTATGTCCTCACTAAATTATAGTAGTACCGTATTTGCTCTATTAGAAGTGCATGCACTAAATAAATAAAGTATACAGGTGTGTCTTTGGTCCTATTAAGTCATAGTTGAATGATCTAATTACATATAACAAATGTAATTGTTCATTAACATGGAAGTGCAATTCTAATAAAGCAAACATGGTATATTAATGCATTTTAAGTGTGTTGTATTGATATCTGATGTCTTTCTGCAGGCCAACCAGGGTTAAAACTGAAGGACCCAATTGCTGTGGATGTAATGAGACATCTTCAGGCTGTCACAACTGTACTCGTCCGTTCAATTTCACTCTGATTCAGGTAACAAAATCAATTCATTGTAGTGACTATTAAAAGCCGATTTCTGAAACTATCAGAAATATTCAAAAAAGATATTGTCATATCACTAAAACTATATTTTAAAATTATCAGCTGATTATGTCAAATATTAACAATGCTTGAACCAATGAGTATCACAAGATAATATGGTAATTTTATAAATTATTATAATGGTTTGTAAATGTCATGATAGGCAGGATAAATGTATTTATAGTACTGTGCATATCACTAAACAATGCAAACTTGTCACTCAGGTTTTTTTCTAGAAAACAGAGGGAGCACTGCAATTCAGTGGCGCCACCAAGTGGGGGAAATAGGGTTCTGCCTACCAAGGTCTGCTCTCCAGAGTAAGGGGGGCATAGCCATGGCATGAGGGCTGCGCTGTTCCCTTGTTTAAAAAAATCCCTGTCACTCATATATTCAGATATGACACTCTTCTTGTTAACAGGATTTAGAGCCTCAGCTTAATGAATTCTGGCCTAATTTGTTGACAAAGAAACATGGAACACCTTACGATTTCTGGTAAGTCACTGATGCTGTAGAGTCTGCTAGTGATATGTATGCATTCATGGTGTTTGTGCCTAAATTGAGTTCATTCTGCATGCTGGGTAAATTGTGAGAATAATTAATAGTCTTCATCTATATTTCGATTACAGCATCGGTCTGTTGTTTAGTATTTTATTACCATGTACATGTATACTGTGACCTATTGCAGGAAGCATGAATGGGAAAAGCATGGTACTTGTGGAACCAGTCTTGATGTAATTAACAGTCAACATAAATACTTTGTCATGGGATTGAAACTGAATCAGAAATTTGATATTTTACAGTAAGTCAATTGTGATATCTACCCTTCAAATTACAGTGAGATATTTTCTTCAGGACTTTGCAGATATCTCTACAAATTGTGTTGGTATTTTTGTTTACAGAGCTTTCTTAAAGCATAATATCAAGCCCTCGCTGAAAGTACAGTACACATATAAGAGTGTTATGGATGCCTTGATTGACACTTTTGGTCATCAGCCACTACTGGAATGCTACTACAGCCATGTAAGTATTAAAGATAAATTTAACATTGTGTGCTTGTATGTGTAAATCTGCAAGTAGTACATGAAATGAAAACAAGTGCACCTTATTTATTAGTTGTAAAATATATAAAATTGTCTATAAAAGAGAACGAAAAACACCATTTCCCAGTTTCTTAGCAAGAAAGAAGTACAGTCTGTTTACCAAACTTTTAAACTGTTCCAGAATCATTTTATACAAAAAGAATGTCATTACTGAAGTTTTATCACCTTTACAAAGCGTAAAAGTATAATTACTTCTGATAAAGAAAATGCTGTGCCAACACAGAAGAAATCCAGAGTGGAAAGTAACGACAAGTTATCATCTCCATGTAGAGCCATGTACTAATGTACAAGAAAAGAGGGGGGCTGTGACATTCTCAATAGCTTGTCCTCATAAAATTGGTATACTAGAAATTTTGGCAAGCAATCCTATCAACTGACGAATTACTCAAAATTAATTGCCCAAAAGCCAATGACCAACATAGTGTTCTAGATAACTCTATTAGTTTGTCACATCACCCATTGTGTGACGTCTGAGTTCATACCCAGTCCTTGTGGTCTCTTCTTATCATAGTTTCATCTTTGATGTGGCATGATTTTCAAGTACATGTATATGAAAGTCCAGACAAAAAACAATTTATCCGAACAAAGAGATTTGATTTTACTATTAAACTAATCAGATTCGAAAACCAGACTTTGTGTACCGGTATATGCAGTATTGCAACTGAGCTTTCTGAATGATCAAAAAGCACTACACAGGCTTAGGCGGGTTTTACAGTTAAGTGCAAATAGACATGTACCGTACTTCAGATAAAAAGTTCTTGTCCTCCCACTAATTATTTTTTTTTTATTTCAGACTACGAACACTAGCAACTTAGAATCGATTGAATTCTGTGTGTCTAAGAACTTTGATATAATGACTTGTCCATCTCGGAATAATATTAATCGTCTCTATAGAGAAGAAACTTGCTGGACCAAGGAAAATATCACGATTCCACCTCTAGTGTATAGTAACCCAATCAAAGTAAAAAAAGACATTACCGTCAAGTTACTGGAAGAACTGAATTAGTGGAATTTGTTATGTTGTATATTAATTGGGATTGTTTTCAATTCCTTCACTGAGCTTGTTGTAAACACACCTACTGATTGTGTAAAAGTGATATGGAAGGTATATGATTTGGATCTTCATATTTCAAATTCAGTTGTGAATAATTTGCTTTCCTCTTTGTTTAACATTGAAGGCACTCTCTGTAATGACTGTGAATAGTTCATTGGCTATGCAGTCTTTTTTGGTTTGAGATCTTTTTATAAGTTTCTGTGTTATTTTTTCACTTTTAGAATAGAATTGCAGAAACCTGTTTAGCAACAATACCATTTTGTTGACATATGCTGACAGCGCCCCCAGTGTCAAAGTTTGAGAAATAAGATTTGAACCTGTGATACAAATCTAGCAATTTTCAAGTTATTAATACTTCATTTTTTTTATAATACAACACCTGAGAAGTCACTAAATTCCTTAATCTCCATTCAACAAAATATAGAATTTAATATCAGTAAACATGTGATATTATATAAAAATAATTATATATTCACTCAAGTCACTTGTACACATTTTTAACTGATATTTTTGAATGTTACAATCACTGCCTTTTTATCAACATTATAATCATTTCTATAGCAACCTCTCATGCACATTACTTAGGTCATAAAGTTCTATACATTTGTGAAACGTTTTTGTATTACTGATAATTACAGATTATAAAATGCAAATCCTTTACTTTCAGTAATATTTTATTTTAATGTTTTTGTTGTACAAATTACACTAGTCTGAACTGAAGCCTGCATATACTGGAAATACTTTTGGCTTAGACCAAAGGTTTACTCTATCAGTTACTAAAACAGCCAGCCAGGCGACTATTTTACCATCTGTTACTTTCTATGTGTTGATTCTAGTTTGGTTTGTCATATTTATTCGATTTGGAAGAATAATTTTCATAAAAAGTTGTGTAAATGGTTAGCCTAGAACTGAAGATAATCACACAATGCTAATAGTAATTCATTTTATTGGAGAAAATGTGTTTTATTTGTCTTTCTATCTGCTTTTTCCCTCAACATATTAAAATCTGATGTATGTACTGAATTATATTTCATTTTTTTGACTTTGGAATAACAACCCTTCTGAAGTTTTCTTATTTTATTTTTACATGTACTTGTTGTAAACATTCCATTTTTGTCCATGGTGTTTTTGATATGTGCATGTGCATCATGTAGATCCAAGGGCTGATAGTGATACGGGTTGGCAGTTTCCTGAATGACAACAAATGTACTGAAATAATGTGATATGAACTGACTTGTATAATTACAGTACAGCTGCATGGCATGACTAAAAGTTCTATGTACCA